CTTTGCTCCTCTAGCTATAAATTGAGAGTGGAATCATAGAGAGTGAGGGGTGAAACAACGTGGAATCATAGGTACTTACTTTTCATCCAACCCCCCCTTGTTTTCTAAGTTATATTATAAGTGTTTATTTATAAGTTATAAATATAAGTTTTTATACTTATATATACTTAGGTATTTGTTTTGTTTTTATAGTTTATATTATAAGTTCGTTGTTTATATAAGTCATATTTATAAGTTCTTATGTTTATTTGAATATGTTTTATTATAAGTTTTATACGTAATATCATATGTGTAGTAGTTAGTTTTATTTTTATTTCGTGACAATGTGTTTGCATGCTTAATTGATTTCAAAAGTACAAACTTTCTCCGTGGGATCGACCCTTACTTGCCCTAGCTATAGTTTTTATTTGATTATATTGGGGGTTAGCTAAGGATATTTTATAAATTTTTAATTTGTTTTGGATCGCACGACAAGTCCTCAACAAATTTTGGCGCCGTTGCTGGGGAAAGTATTGTAAAGAATCAATTTAGTATGCCTTTGTGTCATGTATTATTTGCTTGTAAGAAAGCATGAGTTGATGAAGTAGCATGATAAATTTTTACTCTTTTCTACTGTTTTGCATGATAAATTTTTAGAAATGAGGTTCTTTGCACTTATCAAAACTGAAATCAGCATTTGTGTTTCTATTTACTGCTGAAAACGAGATTTTCTTTGCTGTTTTTATGAGAATTTTAGGCCTATTTTTAGAAAAATTGCAATGTGAAACTGTTTTCAACATTTTTTCCTTGCTGATTTTTGTTTCTTTTGATCACACATGCTTACTTTGAATGGATTTGGTAAAAATTTTTCACAAATTCTGATTTGTCAATGCTGTTTTCTTGACAAACTACACTATTTTGCCGGTTTAAGTGTGTTTAGTGATCCTAGAAATGCTAATATACATGCAAATTGAACTCTTGTGCAACAATCTGCATTTTGAACTCTTTTTGGTATTTTTGTTGCTGATTTTTGTTACAAAACCGAGGTTTGAATGGATTTGTTGTAGTTTTGTCAAAGAAATATGATATATTCTTGCTGATTCTTTGTGAAATTTGCATTGTTTTATTGATTTGCAAGCTAAATTCATGTTCCTTTAAGTGCTTATTTGCTTGAATTTTTTTTTTTGGAATTGAATCTAGAGCTATAACATGATGTCAAAAGTCTTATTCTTGAGTATTTGATGCTACATTTGCTTAAAAATCTGATTTATACATGCTGTTTTTTTGAAGAAAGTGCACTTTTGACATTGTTTTCATGCTGTTTTTGTCCTTGGAGTGCTCCTTTGCTGTAAATATGAACTATATAGGATATATCTTGCTTGGGGACAATATCTAGAAGCATGACATGATGTTAATATGCTGATTCTTGAGATTTAGAAGTGAATTTGCTGAAATTTAGACCTACACTGCTCTTTTTGTTGAAAAAAAATTCTGCAACTTTTTTACTTGATTTCATGCTGAATTTGAGTTCCTAAGATGCCTACTTGCTGAATTATGCACTTTAATTGTTAAATACATGCATAGGAACATACTTGGAGGTATTTAGCTTGTTTTTGCACTCTGAATTTGACCCTTTTATGCTAAGTTTTGATGTCAAAGTGCAAAAATGCAGAAACTTAGGTTCTAAAAATTGATTTGAAGCTTAAATTTTGCACATAGAATCTGAATTTTGTTTCCCAACTAAGCTTCAAGTGTTATTATTTATAGAAGTTGGAAACAAAAGTTGGATTCTTAATTTTACACTCTTTATTTGTTTTAAAGAAACACTTTTACTTCTCTTTACTACTTGATGGTTTATCTGAATATGTATTGGCAAGTAGTAAGCTTCGTCTAGCCAAAGACGTTAAATCGGGCGGCTTATGGAAGGCAACCCACTATCTTTTTTAAGTTTTTTTTTAAAAAAATCTTTTTACTTCTAATTTCTAGTAATTGTTGTACTTTTTTTTTCTTCTCTTATAGTTGTTGATTGCATTTTTTTTCCTTCTTAATTTTTTTTAACATAACCCACTTACTTTTATAGCATTTTTAATTTTTCTTTAAGTTCCTTATGCTTACTACTAACTTTAACTTGTTGTTGTACTTAATTTTTTTTCCCCCTTGTAATGGTTAATTTGGTTTTTATTCTCTTTCTTTTAGTAACTAACTTAATTTTCTTGTAATTGTTTTTCCAAATCGATCTAGTTGTACTTATTGTAATTATAGGAATATTTTTTTCTCTCTTTCATTTAGTTTTTTTAATGTATAAAATCAAAAAAAAGTGATCTTGTTGAGCTTAATTGTTTATTTTTACTTTACCTGTGCTTCTAACCATCTACTTTGAGAGATTTTTGCAAGATTTGTTAAGTTTTAGGTGGAAGCATGGTGTTTGGAGTAAAAATCTGCACATTATGGTGCAAAAAAATTTGTTTTAAAACAGGGGCTCGAAGTGCTCGGGTGTTGGTATGCCATTAAATTTCAATTTTCTTAAGCCTTCTGTGTTTATATTTGATCATTTATGAGATGAAAATTGAAAAAATTCTGCATTTTTAAGGCTGATTTTTGAGTACCAATGGAAAAATTCTGCACTTCTCAATTTGATTTTTGGGCTATAAACTGAAAATATGCACCTTGTAAGCTTGTTTTTTTGAGTGCAGAATGAAAATTCTACACTTTTCACGGCTTATATGTGCTAAATTAGAAAAAATCTGCATTATTTGAAATCTGATTTTTTGTTCTTCAATGCTAAAAAACTCTGTTTTAGCCTTGTCTTTGCAGATTTTAGGTCCATTGAGCACTTAAAGGAGGGAAAAATGATGAAATGATGCCGCGTATACTTTTTTAAATTATCATTCCCATTCCATTCTTTTGGTTGTTGCGTTACTCCCCATCCTCTTCTCTCTTAGCTTATTCTCTTGGTTATATCGTTGTTTTCTCAATTGCATATCATTTAGATGCATTGAGGACTATGCATGATTTAAGTGTGGGGGGAGGTTCTCATGTTTACTTCGTTTGTTTGGGGGTGTATATTTTTGGGCAAATTTTTTTTTTCTTTGATAGTTTTGGGGTCTAAATATTTTTGTCATTCTTAGTTGCATATCTCTTTATTTAGAGCATTGTTTTTAAAATTGACCCAAATACCTCAATTTTTTTTCAAATTGACCCAAACACCTCAATTTTTTTTCTTGAGCTTTATTCTGAAAGATAAAAAATGTTTCTTTGCAAGCTTGTCTTGAGTCTTAAGCCCATTTTCTTGGTAAAAAATGACCATAAAATGTTAGAATTTTGTTTCCTAAAACTAGTCGTCCACATATTATCTAGATGCTGTTTTAATAACCTTGTGTGATCTTTAAAAGTTTTAAGAATCAATTTTAGGAGTTTTCTTTTATTTTTAGAAAATTGTATGTTTTTTATCTTTTAGGTTTTTTTAAAAGTTTTGCTAGCGTTGCCATTGAGCCGTTTGAAGCATAGGATTCCCTTAGGAAACTTTTTTGTGGCAACTTTAGAGCATTTTTTTTAGAACCCAAATAATCCATATTTTAGATCTCCATCTTTATAAGATTTGTAGCTCACTTTGTTCTGAAAAATGCTCTCGGTATAAAGTCTTAAGTGTGAGTTTGTAAGGTGCACTTTGTTTTTCTTGATGATGATAAAAAGTTTGGTTTCTTTTGGTCTTTTGAACGAGGACGTTCATGTCTTAAGTGTGGGGATATTTGATAAGTCGTTTTTGGATTAGTTCTTTTTATTCTTTTTTAGGCATTTTAAGATTTTTAGAGTTTAATTTATAGTTGTTTAGCATAGTTTTATTTTAATTTCTATTTTTACAATCTTTTAATTTTCTTTAAAAAAATAGTAGTTTTTTAATCATTTTTTTTACATTCTATTATTTTTATTTTCCCTAACCCAAAATTATCACATATCTTATTTTTTGGTGAAAAATGTAGCAAAAGACCAAATTGCAATTCAAGTTTGAAAAAAGAGGTTAAGTTTGGGCCAAGCCCAAACCACCATCAACAAATAGCAGCCCAACACCCTCATCCCCCATTCAAAGGACAAATCAAAAAGAAGAAGAAAGAGACGCAATTTACTTCTTCTTCGTCAACTGAATGGCAATCGTGATCGAAGACCCGCTCCAGACGCTCCAACGTTCGCCAATTAATGCTCCAACGGGAAGAAATTTGAAGGTCCTTTGCTCCTCTAGCTATAAATTGAGAGTGGAATCATAGAGAGTGAGGGGGGAAACAACGTGAGAGAGAGCCGCAGCTTAGGCCGCGGCTGTCGGCGGTGGAGGAGGAGACAACCAGCGGCGGCGACGGTAGCAGCTGCAGCTCTGGTCGGCGGTGGGCGGCGATCTCCAACTCCGGTCATGGCTCCAATTTCTTGAAGTTCATCATCTTCTTCAAATTGGCAACCCTATATATGTCAATTTCTTTTTCTTCTCCAATTTCTTTGTAAAAGTGTTGTTTCAATTCAAATTTACACTTTTTTCCTTGTTGTGTGAATTTCAAAAATTCTAAAATGGTTGGTGTTCTTTTATGGGTTTTTTTATATATTAAATCTCTTATGAATGAGAATGAATTCTTACTAATTTATTCAATTTTTGCGCAAATTGATGTTAAATTTGTTGAATTATAAATTTGATTTCATAAGTAGGTTGGTACGTCGAATTCGGTTATCATTGAAGCTAATTTAGCTCCATATTTTAGTTAAATGATTTTCGAATTCATACGTGATTTTTTGTTGTGCTATGTGTTTTGTAAAATTTTTAGGATTATGGACTTCTTAGCCACATAAGTTGAACGTTTTCCTTAAGATTCGTTATAAAGTGATTGTTTATGTCTCGGTGTTCTTGTTTGTTATTTTCATAAAAATTGGGATTGTTTAAGCGCAATAAACAACTCTCGATTTAATGAAAATATGTAATGTTCTTTTATGTGAATAAACTAAATTTCTTACGCTTAAGTTGTTCAAGGAGACCTGCAAAATATTTTCATCATTAGACGTTAAAGTTTATTAAAGTGTATCAAACGTTCTTCATGAATACTTTGTGCATGGGAGTTCGAATGAAAGAAAGATTCGCTCTTTTATAAACTTTTTCATCTATTGGAATCATTGTTTGAGCGCTTGAGGTGAGTGGGGGTTTAAAGTGATCCAAATTAAAATGCCTTTGAATCTTTGACTCCGGGCCTTATAGAGAGTTGACGATCCTCTATATGTGGTCAAGGATATGAATCAACTCGAACCTTTCAATTCTTTTTCTATTTTTAAGTGCGTAAGTTACATAATATATTGTCTAAGTGCCTATTATACGTGTAATGTTCAATTTGTGTTTGTTCTCTTTTTCATTTTGTTTTGGGTTTTTGGCGGTGTTTCTTGGGTTAACTAAGTTGGAAAAGTTGATTATCTTTTGAGCTTGTTTTCCCCATTATATCCAAAAAAACAAATAAAATAAGAAAATATAAAAAACCAAAAAATACTTACTTTTCATCCAACCCCC